CCTACAGCAACCAGAACCGAGACATAAAAAGCACTTTGCACCACGGTCATGTTATCCCCTCATCCCTCCCCCTCATCCCGTTCGGAGCTTCTTAACTTCAGAAACCTTCCTCCAGAGGAGTGTTGGAGTGACAGAAAACATTTTCCAAGCCTAATATCAGTTCCAGATGTTCACAGCCATTTCAGTTTGTACCTCACCCTGTAAAACACATTTCTCCCTCTCCCTCTCTCAAGTGCAGCGCCTGCTTCGTCCATGACATAATGCGCTGGCGGGCTCGGCCGTGCACACACACACGCGCTCACGCCCTCTTCGAGAGCCCCATGTTCAAACAAAGAGCATCACTCAACTACAAAGCTGTCGCACACATGGAGTTATGAGTAATTTCCACAAGTTTTAATAAACAGTTTGGGATGTAATTGCTCTCCATCTTCTGCGCTGGCTCCCGAGCGGAGAGCTGCTCGCTCCCCGCGTGCTGGTGTTGAAAGCGTGGTTTGTTTCGCACACAAGTTCACCTCCTATTAGGCTCAGATGGTCCAAGGGCTGTGTTTTTCTAAGCGCCAGTAATAAGCCTCTTTAAAAAGCACGTACAACCGGGGGTAGCCGACCCAGGCGAGCTCCCGGCTCCTTCCGCCCCGTCCCACAGCATCGCCGCCCGGCGAGCGGAGGGGATGCGTGTTAGACCAGCCTCAAAACTCCCTCCTGACTCTGCTCCAAGAAGAGGAACAAGTATTTTCTGGCTCAAGGGAAAGGCTACATCTTCCAGTTGCAAAGCAAAGGGGAGGCCAAGGAGTTCTGCAAGGGCGAGAGACCAGCGGCTTTTGGGGGGCAGGAGGAAGGCAGAAGGCAGGTTAGGCAGGGGCCAGGTACCATCTAGCTTGTCTCAGGGCTGAAGAGCAGGTTGGCACAGCTCCAGCCCCAGCCCATGCCAGGAATCCGAATAAGACATGGTTACAACTGCACTAAAACAAACAAAACCCCCGTACAAGCACAAATAATCCACCCATTTAAACTCAGGCGATCCAAGGCATGAAGCCTCAAGAGCCCTCAAACCTTGCAGAATCCTCCCAGCCCAGCGCTACCACGCTCTGCAAATACCTGTGGTGCAGCTCCCAACAACGGGAGCGACCTGCTCCTACCTGCCAGCAGCCAGGAGACCGATGGAAGATCTGCCAATATCCATCCAAAGTCATCCCAATTTCATATCCCTCCCTCCCCCTCAAGCCCCCCGCTAAGCTTCCCCCTTCTGGGGTGACACTGTTTTTGTGGATGCTGTTCAGATGTGACGGAGATGTGGTGCGCATGACGGGTGGGTGATGGTGGTGAGGGGGTACCCACGGTAGGATTTTTGGCCAGGCAAAGCGTGGTTCCAAGCGAAGCCTTTGAGAGCTGTAGCAGTCAGCATCTCTGCAAACCTATGCAAGGTATTTGTAAGAATCAAGTCATCTGGCATTAGGGGCCTGTAGGGTAAGGAAGGAATGAAGGCAGGAATGTTGCTTGGTTATAAACAACATAGAAAAAAAGGAGAGATTCAGGATTGGCTTTTCTCTTTAATTGTTAATGGGGTTATTCTGTCCCAAACAGTCCCCCAGAGCAGGGAGAGGGGAGGGCAGCTCCCCACAATGAATTCAGTCGCCTGTCAAACACATGGCAGTCATAAAAGGAAAATAATAATAATAATCTGTATTTCCTACTCTGGCTGCCAGGCAAAGATCCAGCCACTTCAAAGGAGAAACCCCACGTTTCCCCAGTCTGGCCTCACCTGACCGATGTGTGAGCAATCTGGAATCCCCATCCAAAACAAAGCCCCTCCTTTGGTGGCTTGTTTTCCTTCTCCGTTACTGGAGGGGTGCCCCTCCAAGATAAAGAACAAGCTTTCTTCCATGCCGGGAAAGTCGAAACATAACCCAGGGGCCATGGCCACATCGGGCAGCTCTGGAAGGGGATGCTGGCAAGAAGGTGTAGGATAAAGCTCCTGCGGGACAGGACCGGCGTAGGAGCCAGGAACCAGAGCTCCTTCTCGCTGGGGTCTCCACAAACAGCTGGGGCCCCCCAGGTTGTGGGGTTCTGGCTCTCTCCAGCAGGAAATGTCCAGCTCTTGTAGCACAAAAGATTTGGATATGGTGGTAAGAGAGGTTGTAGAAGGAGAATAGATGGACGCAAGATGAACAGAGAGGGTGAAAACTTCCCTGTGGCTGTGAGCTGGAGCAGTTTGCCCTGTGGAGCTCACGGCAGCAGAGGGCCTTACAAAATTAGTGAGGAGAACAAAAAAGCCACCACCACAAGCTGAGAAAGCTTCTGACCAAGACCTAAGGACTGCCTGCATGCAACTCCCAATTTGGCTCTGAATGATCTTTCTAAGATTGCCTTCCCAATGGAGAAACACAGACAAACGACTTGCCAGGATGTCCTGCAAGACTGCAGGAGCACAGCGAGGTTCCTCCCTCCACCATCAGCCCTGTCCCCATGTTCAGTCTGGCCCCTTGGCCTCGGAGGCAGCCCAGACATGCATGCTCCACATACCTGACCAGGCTCCACCTTCAAACAAATTAGATTTTTCACCACCCAAAGCGGTAGCTGTTGCAGAGCCTTGCTCCAATGATGGTGGAAACCTTCTTCCTCTGTTCCCTCACCCGGAGGGGCGCGGAAATTTGGTGCTGCCAGTGTCTGGGGGAAGTGGCCCTTTACACAAAGGTGTATCGCAGCTTTGGCCAACAATACTGGGTGCCTCCGACACGTCACCTGAGCTTTTTTAACAGACTGCATCCAAAATCCTCAAGCAAAAAGCAGCAGGAGGTTTTGCCTGGCTTTCCATGCAGCAATAGCATCACTCAAAGTCTCAAGTGCTATTTCCTGAAATACATCATTGATTCACCCAAATCAAACCCCATCCTTCATGCCCCTCCACCATGCTTCTGGAGCATGGCTTGAAGTGCTGGCAAAGCCTTTCCAACGCGCAGAGAGCTCAGTCCAAGCCTGAGCTGGGAATCAAACTCCGACCCAGGGAAGTTTCAGGTTCCCCTGAAGATGTTTTGTGCTGCTTAAATGAGCCCTCTAAATATTGCAGACTACAAATTACTTCGACAGGTATGCAAGACAACTTAGGGTGTCCTTTCGAAGGCTGGCATGCAATGTAATATTCACTGGAACGCACAATAAAGCCCGTGAGTTGTTGAGGGCTGACGTTCCACACCCATCATCCTGCAGCATTTCAGGCCGATCACGTCAAACAGCTGCTTCAGTCAGAAACTCCAACTTACAGCTCTCCTACCCAAAAAGGGCACATCATCGCCTTCTGCCACGCTGTTTTTGTATTTCCCCTTCCCCTCAAGCACCCGTATCTGCTGAAGCCTTCAGAAACCGCTCCTGAATGGACCGGGTTTGATACTTCATGTAGCACCTTGGCTCTACCACCGTTCCCCACAAAGGCAGCGTCTCTCAGCCCGGCGGGACGCAGGACGCGCTGCCGTGCGCCCTCGGCACCGAGAGGAGCGTGCCCTTGGCAGCTGCACCCACCTGTGTAGAGGTCCGTGTCTGTGTACTCGTCCACCTTCTTGTGCTGCAGGACGTAGTCAGACACCTTTGTCCCAATGGCAGGCTGCACGTCCAGCCACTCCAGAGAGACCACAGTGCTGGAGGGCTCCACGGTGGGGGAGAGCCGCAGGCTGGCCAGGAGAGAGAAAAGAAACCAAGTAAGACACCAGCTCCCTTTCTGGGGGGGAATCCACCTCTACAGGCAGCACATCCCCGGGCAGAGCTCACACTCACACACAGGGATGAGCACGCAGACCCACGAGCACGGGGGGCACAAGGGACAAGGCAGGGGAGCACGGAGAACTTCCAGTTGAAGGTCAGCTGGGTCCAGCCTACCGCGATGTGCGTCCTTACCTCCCCTGCTCCTGGAAAAGCCCGGGTCACGCACGCACAACCACGCGACCCTCACGCCTAAAGGGGCCTTCACCTCCTGGGAGAACTGCTGGACTCCAGCAGCCCCACGGGCAACCAAGGGCCAGCTGCGCGGGAGCCAAAGGGAAGGGGAGGATCCAGCTTAGCCTTCACGCAACCCAGCGGGGTTGAATCTACAGAAGGGGAGGGTCCGGTCCGCACCGCCGGCGAGCGAAGGCCAGGGAGGGTGGGAGGCAGAGCCGGGGCAGCTGTGGCTGTGAATTTACCCAGCTGCAGGTGAGCAAGCTCTGCTGGGCGTGAGCAAAAGCCAACGCAGGGCAGCTGCGCAGCAGCTCCTGCCCGGGCCAGGGCCCTCGTGGCGAGGGGCGAAGGCAGAGCAGCTTTGTGCTCCCGGCCGCTCACAACACAAAGTGCAGGGCTACGGAGAGGCCGGCTCCAAGCACATGAGCGTGTTTGTTGAACTCGGGATGGGAAACGAATCTCCTCCGGGGATACTGGCTCACTAAGAAGGTGTTCTGCTCCTTGTGGATCGCTGGAGCCAGTCTTCCTGCTTTCTCAGCTAATTTCCCATCAGTTTGCTCCTGATTTGCTCTTGCTCTGACAAGCCACAATGAATTGCACTGTAATTCCATTTCTTTCAGCATTTGAAATCCCATTCTACAAGCCCTGCTAATCAGGTGATGAAAATGTATAAGGAAACCTTCCAGGGCCACAGCCGGAGCCAGGATATCCTAAAGGCATCAGTCACACAGCGAGGAGCGCTGGACTGCAGCGCCGGGGCTCGAAGGCGAGAGGAAGGAGGTGCCCGTGGGCTGAGTCTGCGGGAAAGGGGCTGGTGTCGGGGGGCCATGAGCCACGGGAGGGTCTCGCACTGATACGTACACAGGCGGAGGGAGAGGGCTGCAGTTCGGAAGTCCGTTCTCATCGAAAGCGCTGAGGTCACACCTGCACCAGTCTTCGATAACATCGCCTTTCCCCGAGCACCAGTATGAGCTCATCAGGGCTCCCTTGAAAGCCTGATGTGAGAACAAAAAGCGTGAACACGTGTGCTAAAGACTTGGTGAAATCCGGCCAGCGGCTTGGCCGCGCAGTGCTGAACGTCAGGGCTGTGTGTGCACAGAGCCCCGGGATCAGGAAACGGAGCGGGGTCCTCCGCACTTCTGCCACAGACTCTCTGCATGGCCCTGGGCAAGTCCCTTCACCTCCCTGTGCTTTAGCTCCCGCATATCGAGGGATGCCGGCTTATCCCTGGGTGCTGCTTTTGGTGTGGGGACGAGGAGTGTCTGCACGATGCCTCGTACAGAGGGGATCCTCTGTGATGGAGGACCGAGCTGCCTGAAGAAACACAAACATAAGCCCGTTTGTGATGCTGGAGACCATACGTAGGGTACCTTTACACTGCTGCTGTGCCCAGTGAAACTATTCCATGCGCCCATCCCATAGCTGTTTCTGTACCTGCAAATAAATTCCTACATCCCCAGCAGCACAGACCACTTCATGCTTCTCATAGGTTTGTAATTCATACGAGCTGCTGGCAAATTGCTGCTTTATTCACTTGCATAAGGAATACCCACAAGCGAAACAGCAGGATCTGGAAGAAAAAAATAAAACCCTGTAAAATACTTGCAGGGTCTTCCCCAGCCGAGCAGTCTCCCCTCTCAATGGATCCCCAGAATAACAGCGGTCCATCTTGCTGGGATCTGAGGCTGAAACACTTTGACTGAGTTCCCAGGTCTAACGCCACAGTGTCTTCCCTGCGCTCATCCCGCAGCTCGGGGCGGTCGGTGTCGGTCCCCGCGCTGCAGGATGGGGCATCCCTTGCTCCGTACCCTGCTGTAGTTCAGGCTTCGTGGCGATTCCTCCTGCTACCTTTGCCTGTCGTGCCTAATTAAACCTCCAGCTTGGAAGAAAGCAGCTCTCCCCGCCCACACACACGGACGACGTTCAACCCGACCCCGCGAAGCCACAACGCCCTGCTAGAATAATCGTTACACCAAAACTTCAGCCACTAAAACAAACCTCTTTGTAATGCTTTTGACCTTTTAAAAGGCACATTTGTGGGGCCAAAACGCCTTCATGGGTCCTCACCCACCAACGGCAGCCTCGCTGCCAGCCTCCACGCAACCCAGCTCGCAGCAGCGCTATTCCGCCCATTCAAAGCCGCCTGCGGATGCCTGGCCCCAGCGATACCGCCCGTGCCGCCAGGTTACGCCTTAAAGATAAAAATGTGCCCTTTGAGGAGGACAGGGACGGCTCCAGCAGCTGCGACATTTAGCAAGAAACTCTAGGAAAAGCGCCATGCCGGGGAGGTTTCTGAAAAGCGGAGGTATAAATAGAGCCTGACGTCAGGGCTCCCATTGTCCGGGGTTTTGTCGCTCTCCCCAAACACCCCCAGCACCTTTAATGAGGCGCCTCGAGGCTCTCACCTCTGAAACATTTTCTGCTTTCCAAGCGTTTACAAAATGGGACTGTTCCAGAAGGGGGGCGGGGGGGGAAGGAAGGAAAAAACACGTGAAAAAGAGAAAATGTGACATTATTTTATTTCATTCTTTAGAATGTAATTGAAGTGCTGGGCTGGAAAGGATGTCACAAAGTAACTGGAGAGCAGGGAAGACAGAGAGGAGTTTATCCGACACATGGATAAATGGGTGCAGATACACTTCTGTAGAGAGCGGCGGGTCTGTGCGGGATGGAAACAGAACGCGATGCACGTAGATGGATGGGGAAGCGTGCGCGCTCCCAAGGGA